GAGATTTTTCAAAAGGAACACCCTGTGTCTTATTGATTCAGTAGCTTGGAAAAAAAATTGCGAGTTTACTGAATTATAACGCATGATATTTTGTTTTGCCCTAAATAACAAAAATAACAAAATACACATTTTTTTTTTTTTTTTTTTAAATGGCTATATTATAATATGTATTATAATATTATTTCTACACTTTAAATATCAACACAAAAAAACAATAAATTGTCATTAAATACATCAAAAAAACTAGAAAACATGGAAAACAACAATTATTAAAGGTTATAACCAATGGGTATAACAAGTGTTAGAACTGCCAGCCATTTTGGTTAATGCATAGTTGGCAACGCTTGGCAATAGAGCGGGTGGCATTGTAAATGTGGATGTTTGATACCTCGTTTGATACATTCCGAATACCATTTTCAAAATGTTCTCCTAATTCTTCGATATTGTTCAATCTAACTTTATATATTTTATTTTTAAGTTCCCCCCCAAAAAAAAAGTCTAGAGGTGTTAGGTCTGGTGACCTAGGTGCCCACCTGTTTGGTCCGTATGTACCGATCCATTTACCTCCAAAATTGGTATAAAGTAATTCTCTAACTAAACGAGAATTATGTGCAGGCGCACCATCCTGCTGGAAAAATATTCGATTTCTCTCAGCTAGTGGCATACCGTCTATTGCATCAATAATATGTTCTTCCAACATTCTTACATAATTCTGAGCGTTGAGATTCTCTTCATAAATTTAATATGCAAACACTCTATTTCGGAAGAGGGCTGCCCAAACATGAAATCCAAATCGGCCTTGCTGGACCCTAGCTACAGTTTGGTGAGGATTCACAGTTGACCAATAGTGAGCATTGTGCCTATTAAATATACCTTCACTTGTTATAAATGCTCCATCGGTCCAAATCAGATTTTGGAAAAAAATTCGATTCAACTGACATTTCTGATGCTGATACCATTGACAAAATATAAATCTTCTATGTTCGTCTCCAGGATGCAAATTATGGACGTTTCTTAAATTATGGACTTTTCTTATAGTGTATGGCCGAAACTTGTGTTTTTTTAATATTTTTAAAGCTGTAAATTTGCCTACTCCTACCGTCATTTCAATTTCTCTGCTAGACGCATTAGGATTTGCAGCAACACAACCAAAAGTACTGATTTCATTATTTTCTCTATTTTCGATATCATAAAATTTGCTTCTAGGTTTTGTGAATGTGCCAAACTCACACAGATTATAAGCGCCTAAAAATTCGCTTTTCTGGCTGACGACGCTCTGGATATCTCTGAAAATATAAGTTTAGAGCTGCATATTCATTTTTTCCGCTTTCAATGTAACACTCGAACATGTGAACTTTATAAAGATTTTCGAACAACACCATTTTAATAAATGATAAAGTTATAATAAATCAAATCAAAATTCTTAACTTTAAAACTGAAAATAGTTGTCAAATAACAGAAACACGCCATGTCACTCATATCATTGTCAACTTGTCAAAATATAGTTTTTTTCATATTTTCCATCATTTGATTCCGGCAAAAAAGTATCTACTAAATATTATTATATTATTGAAAAAGGAGATATTGTTGCCATTTTGCCCATTTTACTGTAGTGAATACAGGGTGTCACACAACATAATTAGTTGATTCTATGGTTTTACGAAAAAAAAAAAAAAAAAAACATTAAATTATAATTATTTCAATTAAAAATGATTGTCTCAATTATTCTTACATAATATTTTGTTTACAAAATTTTCAACTAAAGTGTATTTTTTCCCAAGACGGATTTTGACATTGAAAACTTTGAAACATAAACAATAACGTCTCTGATTGGTCGCAAAATGCTGTATCCCTGCAGGTTGGAATTAGGGCTCGGAATTTTTGAAATTCAAGTATTCGAATAGTCGTTTGGTATTTTATTCGAATTGTCGAATAATTCGAATAGTCGAATATTCGAATACCTATTCGAATAGTCGAATATTGGAATAGTCGAATAGTCGAATAGTCGAATATTCGAATAGTCGAATATTCGAATAGTCGAATAGTCGAATATTCGAATATTCGAATAGTCGAATATTCGAATAGTTGAATAGTCGAATATTCGTATATTCGAATAGTCGAATATTCGAATATGTAGTCAAAAAGTCGAATATTCGAATAGTCTAATATTCCAATAGTCAAATATTCCGATAATCATTTAGATTAGTTAGTTTGTACTTCGTCGTATGGTTAGTAGTGGTCTATTTTGAATTAAATACCGGTAACCCGGTAACCGGAATAGTCGTTTAGGTAACTATTGAAAATCTGAACATTATTTTATTCAAATTTGTAATGTATAGGTTTTTTTTTAAGTGGGCTGGCAGGTACCTACTAGGTAGATAGTCCAATCTTCAAATAGTCGAATAGTCGAATATTCAAATAGTCGAATATTCGAATATTCGAATAATCGAATATTCGAATAGTCGAATATTCGAATATTCGAATAGTCGAATAATCGAATATTCAAATAGTCGAATAATCGAATATACGAATAGTCGAATAATCGGATATTTGAATAGTCGAATAATCGAATATTCGAATAGTCGAATTTTCTAACTAACAAAAAATTCGAATTTAGAATAGTCGAATAGTCGACTATTCGAATTATTCGAATACAATTCCGAGCCCTAATTGGAATCAGTTTTGCAATCCATGTCGTGCAAATGACATGTTGCGACCAATAAGCGGCATTGTTTAGGTATGTTTCAAAGTTGACAGTGTCAATATCTATCTTGGGAAAAAATAGAGTATAGGTATTTAATATTTTAGAAAAGGTAGGTATAACATTAAAAAAAAAGTTAAAATATGTCACTTTAAAAATAAAAAATAAACAATTTATTGCATAAGCAATTAAACAATAGTTATTTATGATATAAGTGCTAAAAGTGACATCTTATTTTGTGAAAAGGGAAGTTTGGGACACAACGCCGAAGGCGGAGTGATTCATCCCTTTGAACAAAATAAAATCACTTTTAGCACGAATATCATACACTATTTTTTCTACAAACGCACTAAAAGTGTTTACTTTTAGCACTCAGTGCTAAAAGTAATTTCTTTTAGCACCAGTGTCATAAAATGGCATTTTAGACACTGACAGCATCCGTTAAAAATGACACTTTTAGTGATGTTTATAGAAAAAAGTGTTTTCTCTTTTTCGCCATTTAGGACAGAACAAAATAGCATGTGTTATATATCGTTGAACTCGCAGTTTTTTTCCTAAACTACTGAACTAATAAGATACAGGGTGTTCCATTAAAAAAATCTCTGTTTATTCGAATATCTCAAAAGATAAAACACCAATATTTTTTCTATGTACGCCGATGGATTCTACGTGAAAAAACATATATTTTTCCTTTTTGCACTTTTTTTATATCTCCGATGGGTAAGAAGTTATAGAGGATTATAAAAATAAGCTGATTTTGAAAAACACCCTGTAACTCGCAAACCAATCTAGTTGGCTAAGATCTGACTACACCATCAAATGACACACTAAAAAAGAAGACGGGAAGCGTATATCAGTTTCTCAGTATCCTTCGGCCATTTTGACTGTACCCTATAAAACCATCGAAAATCAACCACCCTGTACACTATTCATTTGGGAAAACTTATAGGTACAGTAATCGTTCCAAAATTCCGGATTCTGCTCCTTCGTCGCCTCGTCCGTAAACATACGGTTTAAAGTCAGGCCTATTGTTTATTGCAGCAACGCGAGATGTCAGTACTGTCGCCCATATAGTATGCCCTAACGTGATAGTCAAAAAAAAATAGAAATCTGCATTTGGTTAAATTGTGTGATGGAAAGTTTTTTCTTTTTTTTGCGGAAATTCGAATTATTATTCTGTTTTACATAAACAGGGATGTAGTTTGGACCAACACAAATAATTTTGAACGTTCATCCGTCGGATTTATTTTTAAACAGTGTAGCTACAGGCATATTTCCAACTATTCTTGCAATAGCGAGAAAACTACAAGTTCAAAAAATTTGAAAAAAATATATGTCGCGTAGAATTGCAATAGTAGTTCGTAATAAAAATAACGGGAACAGAAAATGGGGGTTGACTTTAAACCTTTAAGTTGAAAAACCAAGTTTTAAAAATATTGAATGAACCTGTAGGTAATAGCTGAGCTAACAATATTTTATAGTAGTTAACCAAAACAAATACATATATTTACTGAATGGAAACCATTAGAAAGGTTCTTGCAAAATCACATTTTGTTATAAAGCACCTTCTTTTGTTTGTGGTCTATTTTTTACATACTGGCAACATTGCCTTTTAATGCATAATCCTAAAATAAGAAAGAGTTTTGACATGTCATATGATTATTATACAAGGGTGAGTGAGACAAATTTCCAAGGAGGACCAGATCCAGAAAAGTATGAACACTTTTAACTGAACTGAACAGTCAGTTGAAACTGAACATGTAAAGCCGGCTTTAGTTGCATATAAGTGGAGTAGATAGAAAGAACAAACAAAAAACAAATACTTAAATAAGTTGACTTATAATAAGGCTTAAAAAACATGAATAAATAAAAAGTCGATAAAACACAAGTTAAACTTAAAAACAGGCAGCAAATCTGTCAAAATAAAATTGTCTCTACATCAAACGCAAGATGGCTTCCTTCGAAAAAAATTCAAATTAAAATAACGTAAGCAGGCACTTATCCCGCCGACAAAGACAGAGATATGTGCCAGTCAGTTCATTAGAGTGTGACGGAATGCTACCCCGAAGACGACCATTTCGGTTTCGTGCGAGGAAGTCAAAAGCACGAAACGGAAAGAGAGAGCAAATATTTTAAGACGTCGCCGACAAGGATGACGATCGTTTTCGGATGGCGTGCGAGGAAGTTGAAGTAAGCATTTAAACGGAAAGAAAGAGAGAACGGATATTTACACGTCACGCGTCACAGACAAGGATGCACGATAAATATGTAACTGTGAACAACAATGGAAAATACTTACGGACTGTCTGGTTGGAAAAAAACCGCAGCACTATCCGGGTTCCAATACACGTTAGGCGAAAGTTAATCCAAAAAAGAAAAAAAAAAATAGGTGTGTATAAGCACTAATATCACACTAACAAACACTAAACACTAATATCACAATGGGCGCACATAGATAGGGCGGGACCCAGCCCGATATGGCACAAAAATTGAACACACGCACCAACTGAAAAAAAAAAAAAACGGACACAAAATTAAATAAATCCTGTTATTTATTGGCACGACAACGGCACGAAACTCTTTGCTCGGACATTCTATTCACGACGAGGAACGGCAGCCACCGAGCCACAAGGCACGGTTATCCAAACACCGAACTTGACTCGAGCGGCGATGCCAACTTGTTATGTGAAATTCGTTAAATCTAGGGAATTTATTCGACATGTGGAAGGGCAATAATTTTCAGTATTCATTCATTCATTTTGAGGTATGTATAAGTTTCCAAAGTTTTGTATTTTTTTTTTAGTTGACATGTTAGCAGTAGTAAGGGAGCTATGTCACCAACTTTGCTCGACAATGTTCAGATACCTATGAAGAAATAAGAAAAGTTTGACATTTTTTCTACAAGCGTGTGCGGAAAAGTGCACTTTACCGTACTTTATAAGTGGAAAGTAGTATTTCAAGACATGTGCGGTAAAGGAGAAGTCAGTATTTATATCCAAAAATCCGTTCTCGTTCAGTAAATTAATTTGCACTCTACAGAAAAGTTCGAAATATCGATTATTCTATTGTGTATTATTTCGAAATTACATTGGTACGAAGAAGTCAGCGAAATCATGGACGTACCCGTGTTGAAGACTGGAAGAAACTCAAAAAGAGTAAGGCAGGAAGAAAGACAAGAAGAGGAATACTGAAGACGAAAAGAAAGACAAGAAGGAAAAACCCAAAGACAGTAAGAACACTACCAGCTTCAGGAAAATTTAAAGTTTCAAACGGAATGGATTCAAACTGTAATCTCTAAAGAATAAACTAGCCTCCAAAAAAAATGAAGATGTTATGGATAATGGATATGTACCAAGAATCGCATCTCAACTAATAAATTTTCCAACACGATTCCCGAAAAATCAAGGTTCTCTTCTGGATTTGTTTCTGTGCAGTAATAAATAAAAGAGCATATACGACCTGGCACCAGAAACTTCTATTGGACGCAGCGATCACGTTATTATTACTGTCAAAACGCAGCTTAAACTTCCGCCAAAGCCAACTCATAAAATCCTGAGAAAAAACTACTACATTGCAGACTACAGCAAAATTAATGACTTTATCAGACAACAACCTGAAAACTTGAACGAGACTGAATTTGAGAACTTTGAAACTGCAATAAATCAATACATATCATTGAAGTCAGTACAAGTAAACCAGCAAAAAATAAATCAGAAGTTATTCAAAGAAATCAAAAAAAAAAAAAGAAAATTATGGGACAAGTATAGGGGCAGTAAAACAGCAGACAACTATAGTGTCTACACAATCCAGAACAATGTTTTAAAGCAGGAATTAACTGAGGCTAGAAAAAGTTAAGAACATGGATTAGTCATTGCCGAATCGCACAAAAGAATATTTAAATATATAAGCATATTGAACTCGAAAGTAATGTCAATTTCTCTGAAAGACCCCATAACAAATGATGTTCTAGACAGCAATTCCATGGCTGAAAAGAGTCTTGAATCTATAACTTTCAATGGAGAAAAAGTCAAAGAACCTCTGAAAAGTATGAAAAAATAGTCCAGTCCAGGCCCAGATGAAATACCAACTATAGTACTGCAGAACTGTGGCGATTCGATTAGTTTTTAACCAGCTGAGACTATCGCAGGAGTGTTTATAAAACTTGGAAAAATTCCACAGCAATGGAGAATTCGATAGTTACTTACGCCACTATTCAAAAGGGGTGATGGACATAGACCAGAAAATTAAAGGCCTATTAGTCTAACATCGAGTCTAACATGCATAGAAAAGATAATTGTTAGGGACCTGGCAGCGTTTTTCTTTGAAAAAAATCTCATACTACCCTTACAACACAGATTTCTGTCTGAACGTTCTACAACAAATTTACTTGAATGTCTTTAAGAAGGTTCCATGACAATTCTCAACCCACAGATTTGATCTATCTTGATTAGAAGAAGGCATTCGACAAAGTCCCACATAATCTACTTTTAAGAAAGTTGTAACATTTTGGAATGAGAGACTAATTCATGCAGCAATAGAGGACTTACTGCATGAAATATTTCATCAAGTTAGAGTAAATGGTGTGCTGTCAAATCAACATCTTGTTAGTAGCGGAGTTGTCCAGGGTTCGGTCATAGTCCCTTTGCTTCTCACATCATATTCGTTTGCTCTTGTCAGTCTCATTGAATCTAAAATGAAGAACTTCGCAGACAATGGAAAGCTTTATACAATTCCGCTTGTATATGCTGGGCAGCTAAGGGCTGACCTAAAAAATGTTGAAGAATGGTCTACAGATTGGGGAATAAAGTTGAATGAGTCCAAATGTATAGTCTCGAGAATCGGTCCAAACAATCAAATTGAAGAATATGAACTAAACAATGTGACAAATCAAATCACTTTCTCTTATCAAATTTTACTTGAAGAACAGGAAACAAAGTGTTTATGCAAATGGTGGAAGATCTTTCGAAAAAATTGTCTCTAACAGGGTACCCCAGGGCTCAATACTGGGACCACTTCTTTTGGTTATTTATATGAATGACTTTGGTGTAAGTCTGTTGCCTAATCGAAGTGTGCTGAGCGCAGATGATTCAACTTTATTAATCTCGGCAAAAACTGATTGTCAGCTTGTCCAGAGTACTGATCAAGCATTGGAACTGGTTCAAAAACGGTTCACCTCGAATTCATTAAGATTGAACTGTGATAAGACACAGGTAATTAATTTCTTCTTTTCTAATTCTCAAGGTGAGAGTGAGTGTGTGAAATTGTTGGGAATCACTATTGACATAGGACTAAAGTGGAAATGTCATATCGATGTTCCTGCAAAAATTGTACGTACCGTATATTTCGCTAACTTTCATTCTATACTGAGTTATGGTGCAGTTATATGGGGTGGATCATCATAAGCTATTAAAGCATTTAGAGTTCAGAAAAGGGCCATAAGAACCATGGAGGAAGCTGGTCCCAGGGTATTTTGTGAACCTCTTTTTGTGAAACATCGTATTATGCCTCTACCATGCGTATACCTCTATCGTTGATATAATCACACTTACAATACCCGATCGGGAAGCACTCTGCTATTGAATAGACATCGCCTTACAAATTGATCTCGAAATTCATTGGACTAAAAATGTATAATAAACTCAGCAACAATGTCAGGTCGATGTTACAATCTGCTTTTAGGAGTAAATTAAAGATGTATTTGCTTGAGAATTGTTTTTATACCGTTGATGAATAGGTATGGAGGCGGCACCTGTTGTTTGATTTGATGTAGTGTTGTATTTTGTTTTTTATTTTTATTTTAATTTTTATAAATATCTTATTGTACTATTTTACTAGCTTAGTTTGAGATCTTTCATGTAATTTCACTACTGTTGGTTTTGATTTTGTTTTGTTTGTTTGTCAAAATGACTTCAGAGCTGAAATGGGAGAACCACATGTTAAAGATTGCCAAAAAAAAAAACAATTCTTTTATATACCTTATTAAACAAGCATTTGAAGACCACTCGATGGAAATGATAGGCAAACTGTATAAAAGTTACATACGACCAAAATTTGAATACACTTTCTCAGTATGGAATCCCTACTATGTCAAAGATATAGAAGTTCTAGAGGAGATACAAAGAAGAGTTACAAAAATATCACCAAAACTACGAGAACTTCCATAATACACAGAGACTAAAACTAACAATTTTAAAGGAGAGAAGACATAGAGGAGACTTATTCCAAGCATACAAAACAACCTATTAGTATTATGTTTGTAAAATCAGAGAAATATTTGTACAAAACCAAAATTATCTTCGTGGGTACCCCAAGAAAACTCGAAAAAGAAATTAAAAAAAAACGCAAAACTGCTTAAGAGAAACTTGCAGAACAACAGAGTTGTTTATTCATGGAACGCCCTGCTGGATGTCTATTCTCGAAACCGGGGAACATCATTCTCACGAGAACGATTTGCTGTCTTCATCAGTGTTATGGAAAGAGAAGTATGGGCGACTAAGATAGAATCTTCAATCTCATGAGAACACTGCTTTCACTGTTTCGAGAATAAGGGCCAAGAAGGGTAGACAGTGTCAGCACCAAGCAGGGCCGTATCTAGACCAAAATTTTGGGGGGGGTTAAACAAAGTGGCAAAAAAAATTGTTACACTAGTAATAAAAAAATAAAAAAATAAATAGGTATTTAATAAGTGTTGTTTATTTTTAAGTTAAATTTTTTGAATTTTATTATTTTTTGGGGGGGTTTAAACCCCCAAAACCCCCCCCCCCCCTAGATACGGCCCTGGCACCAAGTGTCAACGTGTGCAAAAATCGACTAGACAAAGAACTCGAGAATAGTGCATTTAGATTATATGATACACTACAGTGCATAAACAGTTTTCAATACACATACAAGACTAAAATATATACAAGCTTATGTTCCAAATTCCTCACATGAAGATGACGAGGTGGAAACGGTATACGAAGACATAGCGAGAGCAATAAGAGAGAACCCAACGACGCACACTATTCTAGGAAGAGACTTCAATGCAAAAATAGGCAGAGGAGCAGAACCAACGGAAACACACATAGGACAGTCCGGATTCGGCACCAGAAATTAAAGGGAAAGAATGTTAGCAAACTTCTTAGAAAGAGAAGGACTCTATCTGATGAACACTTTCTTCCAAAAGAAAGAGAAACGTAAATGGACATGGAATAGCCCAGATGGACAAACCAAAAATGAGATTGACTTTATAATCTCCCACCATTAACACATAATCCAAAACGTAGATGTAGTCAATCAATTCAACACTGGCAGTGATCATAGGATGATAAGATGCAAACTGCTCATAAACACAAAAATGGAAAGAAAAAGAAAGATGAAACAAACGACGAAGAGAGAAAGTAGAGAAAAGATAGCAGAAAGAAGGGAAACATACAAACAAAGGCTGAAAGGAAACTTTTCCAACAATCCAGGAAAAACAGAAGAGTCATTAGATGATAACAATAGAAGAATAAGAAAAATTATAACAGAAACAGCAGAACAGATAATAGGCCCCCTAGAGAAAACGCCGGACTAACTGTCGATAAATACGAAACAGCTGCTAAAGAAAAGGAGAA